ATGATAAAGCAAAATATCGCTTTTGCTGAGAAAGAACTCCGAAAAAATTTCTGCCCGTGTTCTTTAGTAAAATACTTATATACCCATACATACTTCTGCATTCATTTCTGTGTCGTACTTCTAGTAATAATTCTTGTGAGGTAAGGCGTACTGAACAATTCTGCGAAGATATGCTTATATTAGACCCTGAACATATCAACAGGTCCGAAGTGGTGTAGTGGCAACAGTTGCTTGCCATGCACACGGTCGCGGGATCAAATCCTGGGTCGTGCACCATCCCTTCCAAGCCTTCCATCCCTTCGGGGTCGGTTGATTCGTTACCAAGACTTGTCTGGGAAGGAATAAAACACTGACTTCTTCATCGGACTGGCTCCCGCAAGTCATTGTACAGGCCAGATTGCATTTAGGTTTCCACTGCGATTCTGAACGGAAGCGAATGGGGGATCGATCAACGTCAAATGCTATCCATATTGGTCCTTTAATCGTGTCAAGAAGATCCAAAAATTTGCGAGGCAGGCGGTAAGGTAGGCGGTTGTCATTTGGGCACAGCCACCTGGGCTGTCAACGTCCTGGAAGCACTCTCCTGCCAGCTCATATGAGCGATGAGTCTAAAGACGGTTTCAACTCAATAGACCCTCGATTGATTACTCATATGTGCCGTCAAAAACGATAGTTCGAGGTACTCGATTCCTGTTCATCAACTTGGTCTGGAGCTAGGCGAAGCTTTTGGGAGATTGTCCTGCTCTGGTAATCTGTGTGCGAGGTTCACCACCATAGTTATGTACCGCGATTTGTTATGGGAAGGCAAGGCCCAGAATCGAAGTTATGTGCTATTACACTCTACTATAAAAGTAAGGATGCGAAATGGGCTAATAGTGAAAAAAGGATGGCCAAAATCAAATAAATGCGAACCTTTTTGCTACACGCTGCTGAGAATTCTCAAAATCAGACAACGAAATAAGCGGTAATGTTAGTCGCGAATAAAGAAATGAGCTCGCGTCGAGAGAGCACAGCAGACGAATTGCGACACAGATAAGATTTGTAGGCGGTGATCTAGCGTGGAACCTGTTGTAGGGCTATACAAGCCCTAATTGCAAGAGGCTAGCCTCTTAGGTTTGCATATAGAAGCACAAGAGAAGTGCGATCACTGCAGTGGCCGACCAAAATTCAATTCAATTTATTACATGCTACTCCTGCCGCTTGTCACAAAAATCCTTCTATTTTATAAAGCGCTAACTTTGTGTGTCGGTTTGTGTCTGTATGTGTGTGTGTATGTATGTGTGTCCGTCCGCAAAATGAAGTGAGTGAGAAGGAAGCTCATGGGATAAACAAACCGCTAACAAATCGGGTAGCTTACAGGATTTGAGATATCAATGTTTTGTAGCAGGATAGTTGTGATAACACTCTTAGGGCTATATAAACACCTGCTTAGCACACTTCCGTTCATTCCACATGGTGCTGCAGTGGCAGCTGGAGGGCAGTGGAGAGAGGAGGGAGGATGAGGAAGGGAAGCGAAAAATCTACCGTCATATCATGATTGTGTCCCTTCTACTGTATGAAACACCATTGTGTTGCATACGCGTCACTTCCAGGAGGTGTTGGTGTCACAGGAGGAAGGGACCATAGCGGAGGATAGAAAGCTTGCGCAGGAAAGGAAGGTCCCGGCGGTTGACGGGGGACTAATCTGGTAATAATAAACACAACGATCAGAAAAAAAGAGAGACGGAAAAACCGAATACAGAAGCATGGCAATATATTAATGAACGGAACGCAGATAATGAGATACCTTGCTTTTGAATGTAGAAAAGGATGTTGATATTGGGAAAAGTTTGCTCATTTTCGAATACTCCACACCTGCACGAAACGTGAAAAACCTGCGCCCAACCGACGAACGCGGCCGCCGAAAAGTAAGCTTGAACCCCTATTGGATTGGACCATACTATAAAAGTTGCGACTGTCAAGATCAACGCGATGGTTGAGTATGTTATACACCATGAGTATGTCATTTCTCCTGAGCCTCATTTGCAGAGGGTCTAAACCGAGCATCTTGTTCCTTATAACCCCACGAGGGATGCTCCTGTACGTAAATCCTAGTGTTCTAATAAATAATTTTCTGGAAAAGTTATTCTGGATCTTTTCTAATTTGCTGAGAAGGGCTTTGCTATAAGGGAAATAAATGCAAGTGCCGTATTCCAAAACAGAACGTACATAGATTTTGTATGCTCTAACAAGCGATATGGGATCCTTAGTTTTTAAAGACCTAAATAATAGGAAAACTCTACGGTCAGCTTTGGCAAGAATGCTCTTCAAATGCTCCTCAAAACCAAGTTTTGAGTCGATAATGAAGCCTAAATCTTTTACCGTACTGGTGGTACCAAGGGCACGATCGTTAATATAGTAGTGGACGTTTGGATTAGTTCCACCTAGGTGAAGCACTTTCGTTTTATGAATAGACAGTGGAAGTACATGAGCGTCAGACCAGTTGACGACAGCGTCTATTGCCTTCTGAAGGTTGGTGGAATGACTATCCACACTCCCGTAGAGTTTCAAATCATCAGCAAACATTACGACTTTCACCTCGAGACCATCTACCGAAGAAGGCAGATCAAAAGTAAAAATGTTAAATAGAATAGGCGAGAGAACGCTTCCTTGTGGAACTCCGCTAGGAGCATTCCTAACCTTAGATAGAGACCCATTTATCATAACTTGGAATGTGCGCTGCTTAAGAAACTCCTCAATCCACTTGATGATTCTGTAATGAATGCCGACTCGCGCTAGTTTGTTTAGCAAAATGGAATGGACGACTTTGTCAAAAGCTTTCTCGAAATCAAAGTAGATGACATCCAAATTACGCTTCATATCAAGTTCTGTGGTCCAATCATTAAGGGACTCCAGTGTTGCTGTTATGGTTGATTTATTTTTCCTGAATCCATGCTGATGGTCAGACAGAACCCCACACGATTCTAAATGAGAAACAATAGCTTTTTTGAGGACTTTTTCAAACAACCTGCAAAATATTGAGGTGATGCTAATAGGTCTATAGTTTTGGGGGTCACAATGGGGAAGTTTAACCAACCACGAACCTGACCAAGAACCTGTCTTCACAAAATGCTTTTCTTCAGTAGGGCTGAGCACCACTCTTGTCTTTAAGCAACTTGAGTGGCCTTAATATGTAAAAAAAACAGTGAAAAAGGATATGTTTCGGAGTAGATTTTTATGCTTAGTGACTGAACACGCTTAAACCTCAATTGTTCACATCACTTACATAAAAATACAAGAAAAGCACGAGAGCACACCATTGGCCGTAGCTGCTTCCACGGGAGCAATGTACTGAAGAAACCCTACTACTACTGCGACTTATACTTGACTCTTACGCTCTTTGCCCCAATGGAATATGACAGCACTTGACTAGACGCCCGTATGGAGAGTACTTACATTCTCGCGAATGTAGGAAAATAAATACACACGTTTGAGATGTTCATGAAAAGCACACAAGGAAAAGCGTACATTTATGAATTCTGTAACTATCAAGTATTATAGAAACTATAGATGAAAGTGGAAAATGAAGTGGTTTGGCGAAAACTCCTGCTCTGGGCTACGCCATTCAATCGTTTCCGATGAGTAGCCGCAGTGGTAGTTGAAAGTGTTTGTTGCCATGCCATGCGCACCTTCATATTTTGTAACTTATATTTGAGTTGACCTCCCTTCACCAACCTCCTAGGTCCTCGTTGATCTTTGCTAACGGACGCTTGACCCTGGTCTGAATCACTGCCAATAGGAACTTCACTGTAGGAAGTGTTTTCCTTTTTCGCCTTCTTCCCTTGGTGGTTTAGGCCATGATGACTGTATTAGTGAATCGTTCACCCACACCATCTGATGATGACGCGGAAGCATTGAGCAACGGCCACATAAATTTGTGGTGCTGAGCAGAACATTAGGGTTAGGTGAAGTTCGAGCCTCTCTTCAGAATCTTTTCTTTACAAATTGCGATTCGTGTAAAAATCTGCGTGTCAAAGTTTGTCGCACTGCTATCGGAACAGAAATAAATCAATGTTGAAGCATGAAACAACAAAGCTCTCTGGAGCGCAGGCTACGTGACTTCAGGACATCACGATAAATAGGATCACTGAATGGAATTCTTCGATAACAAATTCCAAACAAATCTGATGAAATTCGATACAGCTGATTTAATTTTATTGCAGTGCACCCCATACATGTGTGAAAAGGAACGGTGATACTAGATTCAAACGCAATCAACATGCTGTTAGTTATCACAGCGCTATCCTCGCTCCTAGTGAATTCTTTCGTTAACCCTCCGTGTAAGTCCGGCTGTAACTCTGAAGCAAACACTTCCACTTGGGTTGAAGGGACTTATGATTTTTCAGATCAAGGATGCGAACCCCCTTCCGAAATTAAATACAAGTTTCAGCACTTCTGGATGACGGCTAATCCATATCTGGTTAGTTTTTCTATTGGCGCTCATGACCTTCGGGGTAAATTCAGAGGAGAGCATTTTCAAACCACTGGTAGGTGACAATAGGACTTAGCCAAGGATAATTGAGAAAAGCTAGGGTGAAAAAATCGCTCATCTCTATTCCCAAAATCAATTCTCTTCCCTAAAGCTCGTTTCGAGTACTGTGAGTGGCTCGATTTGAGTGCTTCCCTTATCTCAACGACATGAGACCTGAAAATTTCACTACCAAATTAGTCGAGAAGATGAAGCAGTGACACATATCAGAGTGACGAGAAGAAGCCGTCTCCTGTACGCAATAGCCGGTTTCTTCGCATTCAACTGAAAAGCCGCCAACTAGATAATGACATTGGCTATTAGAGATGCTCTGCTAGTACTAGATTATTAGAGTTCAGATACGTAGGCAAAATTCCCGTCCCAAATGCTGCCTGGACCCTCACGCAACAGACATCTCACGCGCCCTTCTCAATAAAAAGTGAATTCTGGAGTCGCAAATCCCATGAGATGACTTGATCGCCTCTTGGAGCTTGCCCTTTTTGCATTCCAAGCTGCCCGGACGCTGTCCGGCTTAGGCTCCAGCTCGGCACTACGACTCTCACTGGTATCCTATAGGTAATCCACTCTCACTGGTATCCTATAGGTTATCCAGTTGGATAGTGAGAGTCGCAGTGACCATGTGAGTGCGATTTGGTGTATACAATGGCTTGCCTATGTACAAATCAGTTTTTTCCTTCCAACAAATCTAGTAACAATTAATAGAACCTGAAGGGGTGAGAGTCTTGGTTGACCGCACGACGCATGTCTCAGGATTCAATACACCGGCGTGTGGTGAGCAGTGCCACCTGCCAGTACACCACTTCTTCCCGAGCTAGACTGATTCTCACCATAACTCTATAACCAGCCAGCCTTAGTCTTGAATTCGGACAATTTAGCGATTGAAAGTTTCGGTTCCTTATGGTTATGCTTGAATGAGATGCAGCTGTTTATATAATGAGCATCCAATTCCTATATCTGGTGAAGCTGACCATTATTCAGAAAATAAAATAGATTAACGGCTCTGTATTTTGAGCTCTTGATAAGGAATCAGGGGCAATGCTTATTTGGTATCACCTAGTTCGGCCATGCTGGCTGTTCTAATTACAGCGCATCCACTCCTACTCAGTCTTCCTTGAAATTGAAACAATTCACAGGATTTGGTCGCTATAGATTTCAGGAGAGGAAAGGAAAAGTTAATTAGCGAACTGGGCAGCGAACTATGTTGGCACTCCTCCCAGTTGACACCTTTATTAACCCCATTGACGACAACGCGTGTTTTGGGCCACCTCTCGCACCGCTTGGACCTAAGAGCGATTCTGGTCAGACTAGCCCGACCGTTCTACAAGAATCTGTTAAACCTTCTGAGCTTAACTATTGCAAAAACCCGCTGAAACATATATTTTGATATCTCTCGTGTTCACTTCTCAGAACACTGTATTCAAATCGAATCGACCTATTTCTCTGGCAAATGAAAAGGCTAATTATTAGTAGTTCTTGACCTGTAGTGCGACCCCTCATTTTCTGACTCCAGTTGCTGGCCACTAAAAAACTTGTATCTTGCTAACTATCCGTAAAGTCCTATTCCTTCAGCCTTTTCACTACTCTTTTTAAGACCGAGGTCCAGCAATTACCATACAGATGCATACCAATTATGAAATTCGTAGAACTTGGAAAACCCTTGCTAGAAAGGAGCATATTCAACCATTCGATGAACCTTGCCGTGTCTAGTCATGTTATGGTGTGGTCTATAGAATAGATGCAAAAAATTAGAAAAGAAGTAGCGCATAGCGCGAAAAATTAATAAACTTGTGTGTTGCAAGCGCCAATCGCCGCTGCCCAACACGGTCCCACACGTCCTCAAAGCTGTGAGCGCATACGCCAGCTGCACAATGTTCGCCAACAGTTTAAAGGCAATGACGTCTCCCTCACCGACGTGGTAATGCGCCGGAACTCACTTTCAGGGTGCAGCACCATTTACGTTTTGGACGGAGTACATCTTATAAGAGCCTGTTCCACTGTTCTCCATCTCACCATATCTCGAATCCTTTGGTTGATGACGCGTAGAACACGGTCCAACCTGGGAGCAATCTTGAGCGGTTTTCAATCAGACGCCACTTATCAGTCCTTAGTCGTAATAAGCTCATACCAATGGCCATCTGTGCTCCAATGCGACCTCCTGTACCACATGTGGCGATCATTCCACTGCAATCGGCGAATGGGCAACGGAATTGGTCACGTTGACATCCAAGCGACCCTCTGCTTCTCCCAACCAATGCCTGTGTCCCCGTCATGCACATGATTTGACTTTTTTGAGCGAATTTGCCCAATTCGCTCTACGGGTGTTGTGAAATTAAATTTCATGATGTACATGCACACAAACACACCACACACAGGGCTCTAGTAGGAATTTTTTCACAGAGCGCAAATTTAATTACAAACATTATGAACCAAGCCGTTGCAGTTATGGGATGAGTATCTGCGAAGAAAAGTTTTCTTGTTTTTGCTTGGACGGATCCATAAAGTGAATGGCACTTTCGCAGAGAGAGTTGGACGGTTTGTTTGCATGTGCTTTTACTTTACAGTTCTTATAGAATACAGTGTCTCTTCAGCAATTTTTGGACCCGACCTAATCCGACAGTGAAGGAGAAAGTATTCGAAACCATGCACTTATTCCAGCGCTGGCAGGTATGTCTTCAAGATAACCCTACGTTATGCAATGTAAGATCACATACGAACGGTGAGAAGGCGACAAACCCCAGTCGAAATACTTTTGTAGATATAATCATTTTTCCGATGATCTGTTTTGCGACTAACAGGGGCAGCATGGGTTTGAACGTAGGGGTTGACGATAACTTGTCACTAATGAAGAAAAAATAGGAAACGAACCGCCCCAAGACGGTAAATTCGGAGCATTCTTTTTGGGCAAAAAAGAGAAGGAAGAGGGGAGCCAGGCTGCACGGAGGCCAAGGAATGAGAACTGGATAAAGTTAGGACGAGAAGAAGCAGGCAACGCTAGATATAGCCCGTTGTATTGCGAAAAACAACGGGAGACAGATACACGAATATTTCGCTGGGGCAACTAATGGCAATTGTTGGCAAATTAGCGAAGCTTCTCGTCTCCATCTTCATGAAAAGCAGAAAAAAACATACGAGGAACCGTTTCCACGACCTCTTGCTCGCGAGTTCGGGGCACTGCCACTGCGCTTCCTTGCTTTATAACTACGTTCAAAGAATCGTTTAGCAGATAAGGAAGGCAGTTCTGAGCTCAGCGCCTCGAGGCGACTTCAACGGTATACGACTCATTGCAAATGGCCAGACCGACCTGATGACCTTCCCTCGTAAGGCTAATTAGAAACTAGAGAGAGACGCTTACAAAGAAATTTAAATTTTCTGATTGACCTTTCTCTCTCGAAAATCGGCAATAGATGAAGAAATCGTCCTTTTGTCCCGTTTTTCCCATCTATTGCCTTTCCGGCTATTCACCCTCCTAAAACGCGAGTTTGTGATCTTCAAATGGCCATAAGCTTCTTAACGTCGGTACATTGAGAAGCGTTAAAAACCATTGAAATTAACTGGACCAGCACTTTACAGAAATTGCTAGGTCCCCAGTTTTTGAGAGGAGAACCTTTCTCTTGCCAGAGGTTTCTATTAGGACCGTAGTGGCCAATTCGTAGAAATCGCTGCAATTTCCTCCTTCTTGGTATAAAAGCGTGGGAGTTTATTCGAAAAGTTTTTTTCGCCTGTGCGCACTGGGCTGGCATACCTTAGCAGGAAATCTTGCTCTGGGATGGCATTCAATTGTCTGTGGTGCGTAATCGCAGTGGAATTTTGAAGTCTGTTCTCTATTGTCACTTAGCCGTGCTTGGCGCCTTCAAATTTTGTGATTGGTACTTGAGGTTGCAACCAGGGTCAACCCTACGTTGTTACGAGTAACAACGGGGGGGTCGTACCTGGTTGAGTTTGTAGGAGGGGGGGGGTCGTACCCACTTTAGTCGCTCGAAATCACGTGTGGGTTTGACTCCCCCCTAGAAAAGGAAGTAGTGGGAGTATAGGTAAAAAATGGGTTGAAATGGTGGAAATAGAAGGAAATTTTCGGAGATATTTACCGTTTCAGAGTGACTATATACCCCCCCCCGCTCGACGGCATTTTTGGAGGAAAAAGTGGGCGGGGTTTTGATGGAAGATGGAGATGGTGGAGGTAGGGAAAAGGGGGTCGTATCAAATCCACGTTGGGGGAGGGGGGTCGTAAAAATTTTTCGAAAAGTAACAACGATAGGACAGACCCTGGTTGCAACCCCTCACCTTCTGTCGACAAAATGCGACTCCCTTGTTGTACTTTGCGCAAAGGGCGATTGACCCTGCTGTAGGTTGCCATTTTCGTTAAAATTGAAAACACACCTAATAGGTAATTGTTACGTTGGTAGTCGTACAGAAGAAGAAGCTTTATTCAGGACTTCATAAACTGAACCATACTGAAGTCACAGGCTTATATAGAGGAGATGTTTTCGAGAGAACTCGAAAACAAGTGATACTATGAAAGATTGTTCATTATTCATCCATAACAGTAATCATTGCAACTCTGGAGACGATGCAGTGAAAACCAGCCGTAAAAAAATTCTGAAAGCGCATGTCAATTGGTTTCTTGACGCTTTTATTTGAGCTGTAAATAATATTCTTAAACGCCAATTGCTTACGCTTCCTACTGCTTTCTCAGTTTTGCGACTGGAAAGATTCATAAACTAGCTCAAATACTTCCGTTTCCGGCGCGTCCGAAAAAATAATGCTAATTGGTGTCGTTAAGAAGTTGAATTCACTGCGTACTTTTCAGCGGCATCGAAACTTCATGCCATCCTATGGTTTCTTGAAGAATTCTCCTTTATACTTTACAATTCAGCTACAGTGTGCATATCATAGAATAATATTTGTTCTCTTATACAGTGCACATAAATAGTGGGCCATCCTACTTACTATAAAGCGCTTCGTCTGTCGTCTGTCGTCTGTCGTGTCTGTATGTCTGTCACGAAATTCCCTAGCTCCTCGGGATCCGCCTGGAGGAGACCGGGTCAAGTGTGGGATGGGTGGGCAAGAGAACATACATCTCCTGGCCCCGCCCACAGTGGGCGTGGCGTGCATCGAAATGAACTGTACTGACGACCGAGATTTTGAATTCTCTTACAAAACGACCTCGAAACTGGGCCAAAAAGTGGGTAAAGGTGTGCATTGGTAAGTCACATCGAATTAGGGAGACCCACCCCCGGTGGGCGGGGCGTTCTCCAAAAAAGCAGTGCTTTATGAAAAATTTCATAACTCGGTTGGGAGAAAGCCTACAGAGCAGAAAACAAATTGGTGTAGGGAGCAATGCCAAAGGTGTTCCCAACATAAATGACGTGGTCGGGTAAGTGCATGGCATTTCCTCCACTTCACCTATTCGGTTAAAAGAAGCCATGGAAAGCTGAAAAGGTGTATAGAAGTCGAGGAGGAATGGAGTTCGTATGTTGAAAGAATCCAACTCGGATAAACGTGTCTCTATTCCATCCATTATTCACTGGCTTGGGACCCATCGCTCACGATAAGCACGGAAAACGCAAAAAATTGCATTTGTTTTGATAAAAAATTCATGCCGGACAGCTGTCACAAATGCTGGCGACGGAAATGCTTCCACTTGGTTCTTGGAGTGCCGTCACTAGAAACTCTTTCTGGCCTTTTGACTTATTGCATTAACATCTCACACTTCTACTGCATCCTATTCTATCGATCGATTTGTCTCTACTCTCCAAAATCGCACGCTTAACCCGATTCTTTCATTGCGTCGCCTGGTACGTAGTTGCTTCGAGCAGACTCCTTTCAATACTTCTGAGACCCTGCGCCAAAAACTGAATTTATGAGCTACTTGAGCACGTCGAATTCTCATATATGTCTATACATGTACAGCGATGGCCAAAAACAGAGACAATGCACTCCACATTTGAGAGAACATCAATCACACTTCGCTAAACTCAAATCGACTGCCCTCAACTTAATATAAGAAAGGTAAGAAAGTCCTGAGCCGTTTGACACTTTTTTTTGCTTTACTTTTATTCCGCGTACAATGGAATCTACTCAACAATATAATCACCATTGTTACTCACTACAGAGTCCCACCTAATGGGCAGGTCAGCGCCCCTTCTCCCAGAACTGAGCAGACTGAGAGTCAAAGAAATCGCTGACCGCTCTTTCAACGTCTTCAACTTTGGTGAATTTTTTCTTCGCTAGGAATGCCTTGAGGGGATGAAATAAGTGATAATCAGAGAGGGCAATGTCAGGGGAATAGGTGGGTGGGGAACCGCGTCCCAGATCAGCTCTTCCAATTTTGCACGGGTCTCTTTAGCTATGTGGGGCCTGGCGTCATCGTGGAGTAGGTGGACAGAAGTTCGTCTCGGTCGTTTTTCTCGAACAGCGTCCGCTAGTTTCTGGAGCTGACTGGCGTAAATGCTGCCGGTAGCGGTATGCCCTTGCGGGAGCAGCTCATAATACAACATTCCTCACGAATCCCAGAGGCAGCAAAGAAGACAGCTTTTGGGGTGAAGGTCCGATTTTGCTTGTGTCGGCGGGTCTTCTCCTCGAGGGAGCCACACGGCACTGTGCTTGTTAGAATCGTAGAGGACCCAACTCTCATCTCTCGTAATCATGCCTTCCAAAAACTCCTTTCGGTGCGGACAAAGAAGGAGAAACTGACAAATGGGTACCCGCCTGAACCGCGTGCTATCGGTCAAGACATGAGGGATCCATCGAGTCAGCACTTTCCTGTGGCGAGGGCGTGGAGGGGACCGAGGACTGTGGGATGGGTGCACCCGAGTCTTATCACAAGGCTGCGGGTGCTAACCTCCGGATCCTCTTCGACAGCGCCGAGAACGGTGGAGTCTTCCACTGTTTGGGGGCTTCCCAACCTTGACTTGTTTTCGGAAGCCGTGTCTCCTCCTCGAAGCTTGCGAACCAGAGCTTGGCACTGATGATGGAAGTGGTGTCCCTTCCCAATGCGATGCTGATAATGTTGACGGTTTCCACTGCTCCTGTGCCGCAGCGCCATTCATTGAAGATGATCGCTCGAAAGTGCTCTTGTGGAATCGACATCATGATTAAAGTTAAAGAAGGCAACCCGGCTATATATACCTACTGCGGAGAAGTATGATCGACAGCGATAATCTATCACGTAGCAGATTCTAGGTATCGATCAATAAGCGAAAGTTCTGGAGCTTTCAAAAAATCGGCTCAGGACTTTCTTACCATCCCAAGTATTGACGGGCACACCCCAACCTATCAAAAAACGATACAACAGCTTTCGGCACCAACGACATCACAAGAATTCCGTGGGGACCTCACCGTGCGTTGCGAGCTCAACGTGGTCCTCGACGGATCATGGACCATTGCGACGTTATCTGAAAGGCTGGTCGGAAGGGGTCTTGCATATTCAGAGCTACTGTCCCTAGGAAGCAACCTATCAGTAATCCGATTAAAGAAATTTCGTAGCAGCTTCAGGCTGGAACGATTGGTAGGCCTTCTTGAGCTAACGGTGATGGAAGATGACGTCATATTTTGAGGACGGTGAGGGCAGTGGAGGAGGCCTGCTTCTACTTATGGGAGGACATCTAAGGGATATTTTGCCGTAAAACTTTCATCAACAGCGGCACCCTGTGCGACGAAAAGTTTGATGATGTGCGCCATGGGCAAAGTGTCTCTTTTTTTGGCCATCCCTGTGTGCTCTTCCGAAAACAGCAAGAGATAGCCCAATACACATAACACAGCTCTTTTTAATTGAGGGTATCTCATGCTGATGCCGTACACTATAAGAATGACATTTCAAACTAGTCAGTTTAAGCAGTCAATCACTCACGTGTGTTGTATAAGTAGAAAATTCACTCATTTCTGCTGTACGCAGTGCCGAACCGAACACCGATTTTCCGACGAAGCCTTAGGTCGCATGAAGTTTCAGCGTGTTCCCTTCATATGGGAAATACGTGCTAAGTTCAGTCTTCAGTCTTCAATTCTCTATCGAGGCCGAAGGATGCCTTTTTAGCTCTGAGACACCGAAAACGATGGCTCCATCAACCCTTTGACGACAATGGCACCCACCGGTGGGTGCCACTATGTCGCGTGGGACAATGGCACCCAATGGTGGGTGCCACCTTAAAATTTCCTTCTTTGTGCATTTAAAACATTTGTAACACCCCAATAATTATAAGCAAGTTCCATAATATCTATGACTAGCACGCTTACAGAAATGTTTACTAAGAGCTAATTTATATAGAATTTTAGAATGTGCCATTTAGCTCGCCAGCATATTAATTGGGGTTTTAAATTATTAGGCCGAAGATTAATTACTAATCAGGACTTCTTCGTCTTCTCATAGCCCTCAGATATGGGAAGGGTTTGAAGTGTACCGGAAATTCTCTTGGACACTTAAACTTTAGAGGTTTTGCCCTCCTTCCCTTTGAAACGCGAGTTCCCCGTCCAAATTTGGAATTCTCTTGAAAATAATTACAGTATGAAAGCCTAGAACTGCAGTTATAACTGGTATACTGTTAGAGTCGAAAATTCCACAGAAAAATTGCTTCAAAGTACAATTTTGGGTTGAGTGCACATAATTTTATTTGAGTTATGAAGCTTTATAGTATGATCAATCAAATAATGTAGCTCCCTTAAAACTCATTTTTCCTTCATTTGTTCACCGATGAGCACGAGCTGGAAACGTCCTAAATATTTGGTCTTTTTCTACGGACACGTACAGAATGAAGGCGAAGGGACTTCTTCAAATCCTCTCCTTGAAGATTTGAGAAATTAAGAAATCACCTGAAGTCTGAGGAATATCCCTTCCTCTGAAGGAAGGTGAAACAAATTTACTCCTGCTCAAACAAAATAATAACCAAATAACATAATTTACATTACATCTCGTATCGTGGTCGTAAATAATTTCTACATTTTCCAAAGTATTTAGGTCGCCGGTCTTCCGCCGCATTCAAAATATGGATGCAACTGCGTGTACTATCCTGCGAAAGACATCATGGAAATGGCGTGCTTCTTCCAAGGAGATCCAGACTTCTAGCCGTTACTGTGAAACAACCTTAGCATTTTTGTGACATAAACTATAAAGAGAGCCCTTACGCAAAACATTTCAAACGCAGAATGATGAGTGCTCGACAAATAAAGACATAGGACGGAGAGCCGCTGTCAACCTTCACATCACAACCGCACATGTTGGCCTTTGATCGATCACTGAACAGAAAGGCGAAGGAGTGGAACCAACCGCAAACTAAGGTCAAGATTAGTTGGCGTACCATTCTAGTGGCTCACAACGGGCCATTTTCTGCTTTTCGCTTCGCTTTCTTTTATTATGTTCGTCGTGCGGGACAGGACCGACTTTGCGGGCGCCGTCACCTCACATGTCAACAGAATTTGTGTATTGAGTGAAAAAAACGAGATCAACACAAAATAATTCGTGCAGTGGTCAATTCATAGATTCATAAAGAGGAGTCACAGTAGAAATTTGACTGCAGGATTTTCTAATGCACACAAAGAAGCAAAGTTTATAAACTTCTGTTGGGAAAGAAACCACAGAATTTTTGCCTCTAATCTTCAGTAATAATATTGGGTTGTCCAGAATATCCTGCGACACCTTATCCAAGATTTTTGATTGCACCTTCTTTTGTTGAACGAAATATTCAATCAGCTATCACCATTACATATAGGAGACGTACACTTTTTCCGGGCAGCTTCTCAACTCTCTTACTTTAGGATTCCGGCGTTTGCTTTGAAAAGAAGCGATCGATCCCATTTTCGAGTTGACCTCAGTCATCGGATTTTTATCTTCTAATGACGCTTCAGAGCACTAATTATCTAATAATTAGAAATGGGCAAGCCCGGCGAGTAAGCCAAGCACTGCGAAATTTTTCAATCAAAATCCATGTTATTCTGTTATGTAATCCTTTGTCGCATGTAGATATGCGTAGGGACGGGATAACACAGTCTTGCGCATCTGCAGGTGAACTTTGCGCATAGATTCGACCAAATTTCAATAGAGCCGGGAATGGTCGTTACGCGGTGCAAGTATCCAGCAGCCTTTTGTGAACGATCAAAATGCAACCCCATCAACCCCTCCAGGCAGTTTCACTCCCGGTCGAATCCATAGAGCTTATGTGTACAGTTTCTTCAACGCTTGAGCTATCTTCCTTAATCTTCATTTTTGTCAAGAGATTCCTTTGATGCGAAGAAAGAAGAGAAATCTCTACCATGGTCACACACTTCGCCTCCCCAGACTGGCGCAACCCATGTGGTACCCATTGCGAACATGCTGCCCTGTAAGAACGTAGGGATCCTCGATAACTGTCAGTTAGTGCACCTCAGCGTTGTTGCTAACTCACGACTGGTAGCAATTGGCTCGTGGAAGTTGAGCAAATGCTCACCATTCATCACCTACGGCCGACCAGAGCAGTGCTTTACTTTGAGTCAAATATCTCCGGATGCGAAGCCTTAGGACAAGTGGACCCTATGGCCTGCTGAACGAGTCACCTCCTGAATACAGCACAGATGCTAGCTGCAACGCATGCAAGCAGAGTTTTCATAGGAGCTCGAGAAATAAAGTATGTCAAAAGATGGCTCAGTTCAGAGAGAAGTTTGGAGCTGTAAAACGTTGCTTGAAGCCTTCATGTACGCTTCTGCTGGAACCTTCGAAGACACACTACAGTAATCAAATGCCAAAACAACTGAAAAGGGTTTTGATTTTTCCCTAAAGTTATTTGTTCAAAGTGTCGCAGGATTTTCTGGACAACCCAATACTTATATTCCCATGTATAATTTTGTATCCATTTCTAGTACTTCCAGTACTGTACTAGTTCACGTGTACAAGCTTCACGCGGACAATCTTCATGACTGCAGAGCCAGAAGCGCGGTGAGCCCCGATTTCGTAATTCTCTGAAAAGCAAGCTTTCGCATTTCGTTTCAGCAGACCAGGCCCCGATTATTCGGTATACTCTGTGCCACAGCCGCTGCCTATTCATCACTCTACGAAAACAAGCTCCCTTAAAGTGCAGTGACCGGTGGACCGTGCAAATATAATATGAACGAAAATGTACAATGCTGTGCAAAGCACCACTCGAAAACAATTTCCAAGCTGACGCAATCGAAAATTCATTTATTTTTCTGATCCACAGCCGTGCGAACGCCGCAAAAGTGATGAGACCAGAATTCGTTTGAAAAAAGAAAAAAACCATTGCAGGTTTTACCGCGAGGAAGATGTCTCGATGGACGGTTGAATATTTTTCTCCAACAAGAGGCCGTATTTCATACATGACCAGAGCCATCTGCTGAATTAGATAGTTCGGCCTCTTCTGATCGATCCAGCTACTGGTACTTCTGCAAATAGGTAGCAAGTAACCCCGACTTCTCATCAGCAGAAACAGCACTGTTCATCTACGGCGTGCGGGTGGAACAGGACAGAACTTTCAAAATGGATTCGTCTCGCGCTCGTCTGGTTACAGGTCAATCATGAGGATTTTTTATCTGAGCTCCAACAAATTCAAAGGAAGGCAGACCCCCGTTAACTGTGTGCCTGAAACATCTGTGTGGTGATTCGGTGGGAGAATACATCAGGTCCAACTGGCACGGGTTGTCTTCTTGGACCATGATTTTCTTCCAGACCATAGTCTCCTGTCATGTAACCTTCTGATATCGCATGTTGGTCGACGGCAAGGTGAAGTATCGTACAACGTTGTGTATTATCATACATTCACAAATCGAGCTCAAAAAATGGCTTTTTTTGTCCCATTCTGGACTCGAATAGAGCAGCAAAGGTGCTTTTGAACCAATCATACATAGGATTACTTCAGGTAGTGGCTCTTTGCAGTATGTTTGACCATTTGAAAAAGGCTAAGTAAAGTTCTGGAGTGAGGTACAAAAAAGTGGCACCAACTTTTGTGGCACTCTATTATGTTCCGATCTCATCCTTTCAGGCCCAGATCCTCAATGACGAAGTAGAGTCGGAATCTGAGAGGGAATATTGAAGAGACCAAATTTTCGAACTACTCCAGATGATACAAATGTGGGGCTGTCGCAGAGGTAAGGGTAGATGTCTCGTTCACATTAGTGCATGGATAGATCTTTCGAGAGGAGATGCTATGATGTATCAACACAGAATTGCAAAAACAGGGATTGCATCTCAACCCTCATCGCAGAACAACCCCATGGGAGCTTTGACCCACCGTGGGGCTGGATCTCTAATTCCTTAGTGGAGCCATGCAGCCAGGCCATAACCCTATGGAATCCTTAAAGGCAAGATTCAAGCTTAAACTGATGAGGTAATTCTACTCAAATGTGAATGTAGGGGTGGGAGGTGGACCGCCAGTGGAGAAAAAAGGAAAGAAAATCGTGAAATACACAGGAAATACGAGCCTTTTGCTCTACGCTGCGGAGAAGTTCAAAAGGCCGGCAGGGAGATGAGAGATAATGTGAGCGCGGAGAGCGGTAGAGAAAGAGCAGAGCAGATCAGCATTGCGACGCAGACAAGATATCGAGCGGTGGGCGGAGCGTGTCGCAACAGGTGGAGCGTGTCAAAGTCCTTGGCCCTAGCGCCTTAGTGACGCATTTCGATGCGGGAACTTGGCGAGTCGCCTGCAGTTGCGTCCCATGCTTCTAGCCACTTTAAGGGCTTATTAGGTGGGTCTGAGCCCGAACTTTGCCTTTAAGAAATGGATTACAATGAAGGTGAAAAGTTCCATGAACTCTAGATTGAGGCAACGAAAAGAAGGCGACAATAAATTCATTGTATTCCGAAAAGAATAATTTCATTTTCACAAGAATGCTGGGTTGTGAACAAAACTTTCGCCCCAGACGGGACTCGAACCCGCACCTCTCGCTTTCCGGGCAAGTGCGCTACCAGTTACGCTACCGGGGCACCATTTCATTCCCAACTCAGCTTTTCATGGTATACGTACCATAGCTTGTCAGCACTCACACGTATAACGTGTTGAGCCGGTTAGCCGATATCGGCAATGACCGCGAGGCTGAAAGCTTTAGCAATGAATTTTGACTTGTTTTTGTTTGTTAACTGTTGACGAAACGATTTTCTGAACAGAGTTATGAAACGGAAAATGTACAGTGGAAGTAATGCAAGTCCCAGAGCAAAGACTCGTGGGTTCGAATCCTCTGCAAGTTCATTCCTTTGCTTTTGTACGCAATGTTTCCAAAATGACTCTCGCACATGTTTCTTGATCACCGTTCCCATAATAACCCGTAGGATGAGCTGATGATGAAGTCGAGCACCACTTCTTGATGACACCAACCAATAACGCACGCAGGCGCTTCTGCTCCAAGTAAGTAGGTGTTCAGAAAGCCAAACTACCCTTAGAGGCAATTTTCTTGGCAAAACCGAGATTTTGACACTTCGAAAATATCGGGCCGCCATCCAGCCGTCGGCCCATTAGATGGTGCAGATTTTGGGATGGAACTCATCTTCTATATGTCTTCTATATCCTAGATGGAGAACCTTTTCGCGCATGCGCCACAGGTGTCACGACAATCGTGAGCGAGAACTGCCTAAAAATGTTAGAAATGCGGATACCTAGAGATAATCTCGATGAAATAAGATCGAGAAAGCCCTTTAAGACATCCCACAAAAGAAAAACAAAACGGCAAACCCCGCACGGCTTCAGTTTGTGACCAATTTCCTTCAAATCCGCACCACTCTGAATTGCCTCACTACCAGACATTACCCTTCCACTCTCGATTGCCTTATGTCTAAGGACGCACGCAAAAAGGGTATGGTTAGGACATTATGGTCTCGTACGGCACAAATGGATGAGTATCGATGAAATAGGAGGCCGACAAACGCTTAGCGACCATCCCAAAAAAGAAAAAAGAACAAATGACGGGCACATGACGCCGCACGCTATACAATTCAAGATAGACAGACTCGTTCACTTATGAGAATCCACACTCTAAGCGCCAAGCATACGACATCAGAATACCCTTCCACTTCTCGTTTGCCTTATGTGGCTCAAGACAGCAAGCATTTACCCTCGTTCTCGTGAATGAGTTCAGGCCAGATTT